TATGTTCCTTCCAGTGAAATGTCAAGTCTGCACTTATTATAGTAATTATCCATTGCACAAATATACGGGCTGAACATTGATTCTGAGATCACACACTGTAACCTATCTACTGAGCCAAATAACACCATCAATTTTTCACACTGTTTTAAAGCCAAGTTTGTTGCTCGGATACTTAAAGGCATCTTGTATTCTGGTAAATAGTTGACACCTGTTTTATGCCAGTCTCAGCCTGGCAATAACCAGTGTTGTGGAAGGACCCATCCTTATGGTTCTTATAATAGCGAGATGCCCTCAGCAATAACCATCAGGAAACTTTGGAAGGGGGCAAGTATTATTTACAGATCCTAAAAATTACACAGTACACATGGGGCCACACGTCGAGGTTGCATGTAGAGAGAGAACAAGCGTGAGAGAACAGGCCTGCGGTTCTGCTTTTATTGAGGTGGCCGGTGAGGGCCTAGGGTTTTGTGAGCTCACTCTTTACGGGTGATTTAAAGTGCAAGAAGAGAAAAAGCAATCGGGCCAAAAGGTCAGCTATGGAAATCAAGCAAGATTTGTGAAACAAAGGAGCCTGGGGCTGGGAGGGCTGGAGGGCCGTGGCCTGGCTCTTCATCTCGTCCAGCGGCTGACAATGTGTTTATTGAGCCAGCCACCTCTGAAGTGGCTGTCTTGCCATTCAGAGCTTACATCAGGCACTTGCATTACAAAAAGAAAAGCCAACTGTCAGGGTTTACACTACAACAGTGTAATCTGCTAACAGAAGAGATGGAAAAATTGTGCAATTTATGATACGTAAAGAAATACAAATTAAACCACAATTCTATGGCCCTGACTGGTGTGGGTTGGGTGTCATCTCACAACGCAAAGCGTTGCCTGTTTGATTCCTAGTCAGGGCACATGCTGGGGTTGCGGGCCACGTCCTGGATTAGGGGCATGCAAGAGGCAACCAATCCATGTTTCTCTCACACATCCATGTTTCTCTCCCTCCCTTCTCCTCTCTCTAAAAAAATACAGTCTTAAAAAAATAAAATAAACCACAATGCTTTGCTTATCATATTTACAAAGATGAGAATGGCTGATAACATCCATTGTTAGGCAAAGTGTAGAAATAAACTGTTGGTAGGAGTATACTGCATTTTCAGGGGCCAATTTTGTAATACGTATAAAAAAAGTTTAATGTGCATATACTTCTACTTAGTAATTCCACTATTTTGCACTATCCTGAAGGAATATTGGACTAATATGCCAAATGTGTCTTCCTTTTTAAGAAAAGTGTTCATTGTAGCACTGTTTTCAGTAGTAAAATTTTGAATAGCCTTTAATATTTATTAACAGGGACTGGTTAAATAAATTCTGTCATAACCATGTTATGGAATATATGTAAATAATTTAAAATATTTATATTTATATTTATGTGGGGAAAGTATGCTACAGAAAGTAAAACTAGTACTATCTTTTACACATAAAGTTCACAAAGGCCTTCCAAATTTCCTGTTTGGGATATACCTAGCCCTGGATTTATAAAGCTCAGGTACTGAATTTGCCATTGCACACAAGTGCTACTTTTTTTTCTAGCAGCAAAAATCTGGATGTAACCCAGTTGTCCATTAATAAAGGAAAAGCTGAATGCATTATGACATTATGATCTGGCCATTATGTGGAATTGTACAGGAATTAAAAAGAATGACTTGGACAGTTGGTTGGAGCATCGTCCCCTACACCAAAAAGAATGACTTAGAATTGACCTGGAGAAGTCTCCATGTTATTGTAAGTTTTTTAAAAAAAAACTTCAGCATGGTATTATCTTGTTTTTGTTTTTTTAAAAAAGCAATTAAACTTCCGTGTTATATATATATGTGAGATATAAATGTAATATAGACATATGAGATATGTTTAATCTCTACATTTTTTTAAACTGGTTATGACAATAGGCACAACCTCAAAGGGAGAATAGCACCGGGCTCATTGACTGAAGTCATCCTAATTGTAATAGGTGGGCGGGGGGCGGGGGGGGGGGGGGGCGAGGGGGGGGTGGTTGGGGAGGAGGGTGAGAGAGAGGAAAGTGGAAAAACACAGCTGAATGTGTTAACACTGAATACCTTTGTGAGGGAGAATTGAAAGAGGCTAATGATCAGATTAATTTTTCTTTATATGCCTCTGAATTCTTTGATTCATAAGAAAGAACATGTATTACTTTTATAATAAAAATTCAGTGTCACAGATTTTAAGTTAGGCTAGTAAAAAAGCTTAAAAATGGAAACTCTTTCATCAGTCTCCTGTATGTTTATGCCTCAGTTGACAATTTATTTTTATTTTTATTTTTTGATTTATTTTTTGCTCCAAGACCAGATACTGGCTGAGCGCTTGTCTGAATGGTTCACGAGCTGTGTGGGTTGATGATGCCCAAGCCATGTGGTAAGTGCATAAGCTAACTATTGCTGGGCTTTGTATTTTTCACCACCCAAGCTCCCTCATTTGCTTATGCAGACTAGACTCCATACTACGGAACTAAAGTTACCAGCATCTCTCTCACAGGAGGTTAAGCTCACAGACAAACTCACAGGTTTTTTGTGTGTGTTTTTTTTAGGCAAAAGACTTTTAAGATTTAATATTTCAGCAGGCATTTCCCCACAGATCAACCCCAAGACAAAATGGGAACCAACAAACATGTTACCTAGCTAGTTCTGACAAGGTTGCTATACCACTCCTAAACAGTTTCAAAGGGAGAACAGCACCAGGCTTGTTTACTAAAACCCCCCTTCTAATTATAATAAAAGTGTGGGTGTGCACACGCGCGAGCATGCATAAAACCAGAAGGGATTTCTCAGATAGCAAGTTATATGTCCTGCCAGCCAACAGCCAAGCTAATTCTAGGAGAAACTATGTGATCAGCTTCTTCTACAAGGACAGGAAGCACATGAAAAGGTGATGAAATAGGGTCGAGTGGCCAACTTGCTATTTTGGGGGGAAGCTCTTGGGACTTCCAAGTACTAGGGAAATAAGTCTGTGGTTTGGTGTGTGTGTTTAGAGTACTCCTTGATGTTTTGGTGGTTTTAAACATCTAGATTTAACTCTAGAATTCCATTAGTGTTTGGTCAATTATATTTGTGCTTTAGGATTGAGTCTTGAATTTACAAAACATAAACTGCATTAACATGAGATCCTGAAACTCAGAATCTTAGCTAGGAGCCTGAAAACCAACAGTCAGGGAAGGCTCTGAACACCCAATGGGGAACTTCACCCTTTAAAATGAGATGAATTGCAAGTCTTCTAAGAGTGAACCCTGCCCTTTGTATATGTGATCTCCATGCCAACTAGCCTGACCCTTAAACAAAATGGGACCTTGGGTTGTTCTTGATTAGCTGTACAACAGTCAGCAGGTCTGTGGATTTTTTGATATTTTGCCCATCTGCCAAAAGAAATCGTTGGAGGTGACTCCTCTTTCTCTCTCAAGCTGATGTACTTGGGCTTACATGAAATTTATTTATTTGAACAAGCAGAATCCTTTGGTCCCTGGCTTGAATTCAGATCACTGATTATTAACATGCAAGAGCTATAAAAAAAAACTGGTCACTTGATTACTTACTTCAGAGACCTGATCATTATTTATAATAGAAATATGTAAAGAGTTATGAAACTGATTTGACTTCTTTTCCTTCAGTGGTGAGCAAAAAAGTGGAGGGGTAAAAAATATTTTTCTTGCAAAGTCTATGCTGATTTGTTTTACCATCCTTATTCACATTTTAGTCTGTAGAGAAAGTGTCCTGAGTAATAACTAAATCTGTGAAAAAGGAGTAAGAAGAGGAAAGAAAATGATTAATAATAATAGTAATAACTATTTATTGAGCACTATGGTGTGGCAGACACCTAAAACCTTTTTGAGATTATCTCTAAATCTTCTCTACAAATACCATAATTATTCTTATGTTATAGATGGTTAAATTGAGGCTGAAAAACTGAGAGTAGTGTCTTGCCCAGGGTTCCCCAGCTAGTAAGCAGCGGAGCTGTAGTGGTTTTTTTCTCTAAGTAGAGTCACCATACATCCCAGTTTGCTTGGAATAGTCCCAGTTTACCTGTATCCTGACGCAAATATTAAATAGACTCAACAGCAAATTATATGATCAATATACCTCAAGGCTCCTGTTTTGGTACTGACATTCTGAGCTGGAATTTTTGTTGTCATGGGGGGCTGTCCTGTGCATTGTAAGGTGTTCAACAGCATCCCTGGCCTCTACCCACCAGATGCAACTCTCAGCCAAGTACCAAAATACACAACTGTCTCCAGATGTTTTTCCCAGAGAGGCAAAACTGCTTCTGGTTGAGAATTGCTGCATCAAAAGCCTATGTTCATGAACATTTAACTGCAGAAAGAAAAGAAAGTCTATTTGCTACAGCACATGTACCATGAACTGAATGTACCTATCACAGTGGCTGGCACATACACTGTCCTCAATTAAAGGTTCATTCCTTGGGGGCATTATTTGACTTCCCAATTGCAGAGAGGTGCAAGGGCTAGCAAAATAATGAACAAGATGCCTGGAGAGCTTTAATGACAAAAACTGGCTTGTTGCCATTCTTATTAAGAGAAGACTGAGACAGTGTACTGGAAACTAACCCAGAAACCTCCTGGCTGCCCATTTGAGTAATACTGTGGTGTTTGATTTTTGATTCCACTGGTGTTGTGCCCTAGTAATGAACATAAAAGCCAGGGAGATAGATAACCAAGGAGTGCTACAGTAGATTTCAAGCTGCAACTTTCTTCCAAAATAGCAGCTAAGGATAATGAGTCTTCTTTTTTTCTCCTACTCTTAGAAATGACCACCATTTCTTTCATACCACCATTTTCCATTTATTAGCAATAACAAAGGAAATACCAATAGCACCAATTAAAAATGAATCCACATGACGTGTTTTATCCTTACAGCTGTAATAACTAGTAACTAACATGGATTGGAAAGCACTTCGCAAAGGGAAAAAGTGCTAAAGTGCTGTACAGATACATTATAATTATCACCATTAATAAATTAGCCCGATTCTCCTAGTTATCAAAAGGCACGTAAGGTCAGATACATGGGTTTCAATGGGGCAAAATGATCACAACCTACAACGTCGCAATGGTTCAGATGTGCTGGCAACAAGTTTTACCCCATGCGATCCTGCAGAGCTGAAGTTACACACCCTTCAAAATATGGGAGAATGAAGCTAAAAGTAGACAAAACAGGTTTTTTTTTGGAGATTTACTGCTTTGTTTTAAAAGACTCCTACCTCTTTTATGTTAACTTTTAAAATATAATTACTCAAACTTCTAAATTGTACATTTTAACAAAATTAAAATGTCTTGCTTAAGGTGACAGTAAATTTTATTGTTGTCTCTGAGCTGATATTCCAGACAGCATTAGAATTTCAGAGCATTCTGCAACGTGCAAGAGGTCAGATTGGTAAATTTTGTGCTTGCGCCCTCGGGGAGCATCTTCAGTATTCATTCCAGAGTTGTTACTAGAAAAAAACAGCTTTATTCATTCCCTTGCCAGCAGGAGTCTTGGCAAGAGACAGCTCTTGGCTGACCATAAATAAAATTCCTTGAATCACCAGTATCTTGATTTAAGAAATAAATTTTACTGTGTCTTACATACACAAAAGCTGATTAACAATACTTAAAGAAAACACTACTCCACTTTTTCACAGGTGTACAAAAGAAAAGATAATGGAATTACATTCAACAATAAAGCTTAAAGTTCACTCTAGGTAATAGTTGCATTAACATTCACATACACAAGCACGGAGTAAGTATATTTCGGGAGTCTTATAATAGCATACAGCATACATATGGGAGATTGATCTCGGGTAACATCATATGTGTTAGCAAGAGTAGCAATTCAGAGTGTTATAGAAAAGGTAAACGAAACCAGGGAAAAGGTGTAGGCTAGCACACCAAGACAAATCACAGAATTAGAGGATTGCAAAGTCTGCTCACTGTGTGTATGAGAAAACAACATTTTTCTTCGATTTCTGGGTCGTGATAGTGTTGGCTAGAGAAGGTTGTGTATACAAAGTGCACATAATTGTTTCTTAGAAAAGAGAGAGAGAAAGATCCTTTTATTTAGTAGTTAATACATGCAAGAGGCAGCCCCAGAGTGACCTGAAAGAGTAAAGCTGTGATTGGCAGGTGGCCGGTATAATACAGATGTTTCAGGCAATTCTCTTAAAGCACTTCTGTAGCAGCAATGATCATTTAAATGGCTGTAGACTCAACTCGCTTTTCAGGAGAGTTTAGGGGAATCATCTTCATCATAGTTCTCTTTAAAGATTTGTAGTTATAGATTTTCTCTTTTTTAAATAAATCTCTCAAACAACAAACAGCTTAAAGTGAGGTGTTGGGGTTTTCTTTATTTTTCTTCTTTTGCTTTTGCATATGTGTTGTGGGAAAAGGATCTGGCCTTTTCATAAACATTGTGTGCAAAAGAATGTTTCATAAAGTGAGCACAAGGACATATACAGGAAACACATCAGATCTGCTTCTGTTGCCCTGGCTGGCCCCTTGCTAAACTCTGAACTACCGGCTTGTAGACACAGCCAACAGACGTTAGGGACTGCTAAAGCCTTGTTGGTGAGGGCAGTTTTGTCTGATTGAGGGTGGCCACCACCTCTTGAGTTGTAAGATTTAAAAAGTCTGGTCCCTGTTAAGTTTCTCAGTTCCCCTCCAGACAGGACTCCCGCTGCTTGTCTGCCTTTGTTCCCAGCGCTCCCTGCACCGCCTGGCCTAACCAGCCCGCCCTGGCCACTGGCCACTGTCTGGCACTCACATATCCCCGGTGGTCACAGATACCCAGTGGCCAGATTACCCAAGCTGCTCAATCTCAAAAGCTTTCAACCTGCCCTGCAAGTGTCATCAAGACAGGATCCCCGGAGCACAGGGCAGAGAGTCCAACCTCTCACGGGCGGGGCTGGAAAGCCTCTCCTTTGCGGCGGAGGAGAAAGGAAACTTGGGTCTGCTTTTTAGGTTCTGCAAACAAGCCAGAGCGGAGAGAAAGAGTTAACACCAGACTTAGTAAAGCTTTTAAGACAAAACCTGCTAAATGTGATCTAGACAGACACAGGGCACTTGCTGCAGATTTCTGAGGTCTCTAAGAGAGGGCTCGTGTGGACAGGAGAAAGGAGTAGGTAGGGAGTTGCTACAAGGGAGAGAGTTGCCATTAGTACAAAAACTGGCTAAGTGGCTTGTTTTCCATTACAGGACCTCACTGGTCACTGTTGTCAGTCGTGCTGTTCCCTTTCTCTTTTTTCTCCTGGGTCTTGTTACCCTTCTTCTTTTTCTTCTTTTTCTTGGTCTCCTCCTTTTTGCCGAAGGTTATGAAGTCACTTTTGTCAATTTGGCTGTTCGTGGGCTCCTGCCGGATGGAGATGATTGCAGGAGATCCTGGGATAATGAATTTGTCTGGCAACTCACCGGGACCAGGTTGTTTGGGGTTGCCTGGTCCGTACTTAAAGGTCCAGCTGTTGCTGTTGACACCAGCACCGACTGGAGGGGACACCTCTCCTGCCTCCGGTTCTGAAAGACAGACCATCACAAGTCAGTAACAGAGTCAACACACGCCCCCCATGTCACGTTAGTGGGTAGAATATAGGGAAGGCCACACAGGCAGGTCTGGCCTCCAAGAACAAGGGAAAACAAAAACGAAGAACTGGAGGTCCTAAGAGCTACGTACACAGGGCATCCCCCCGGGGAATCAGTGCGTTAGCTTTTTTTAACCTTTCTACAATGAGAGACTCCAGGACGTTTTTGGTTGCAATCCCAAACTGAAATACTTGCATCCCACCTGATGTCAGGCTACTGTACTGTTCCGCAAGCCAGTCTAGGGACCTCTGGAGTCTCCAAGTTCTGTCAGAAGTTTTTGAACAGAGGTTTCAATAACCATGGTAACTTAAAGGGCAGCCGACATGATACATCCTGCATCAGCTGCTGGGGGGTTTCAGAAGCTCTGTCTGCCACTGCGCTCAAAATGCTTTAATTATCTTCGGCTGATAGAGAAAAGGAACCTAAACTGGAGAACATGATGCAGTTTAAGATTTTTTTTTTAGAGCAGAATATGTTACTTTTAGTGTATGAATTCAAGAAATTACTTTGGCTACAAATATATTTTGACACATGCTCTGTCCAAAACAAACAAAAAAAAAAACTTAGTTGAATTAATTACAGTTGACCCTTGAACGACACAGGAGTTTAAGGTTAAAAGTTACACATGTAACTTTTGACTCCCCCAAAACTTAACTACTAATAGCCCACTGTTGACCGGAAGCCTTACAAATATAACATAAGCAGTGGATTAACATATATTTTGTATATTAAATGTATTATATAATGTATTCTTACAATTAAGCCAGAGAAAAGAAAATGTTAGTAAGAAAATCATAAGGAAGAGAAAATACATTTACAGTACTGTGTGTATATATTGAAAAACATCTACATATAAGTGGACTCACGCAGTTCGAACCTGCGTTGTTAAAGGGGCAACTGTATTTGATCCTAATTCTTTTATAATAACCTTGAAGGGTGGTGGGGTGAAGCGAAGAAGAGATGGGAAGGAGTGTGGGTACTGAGGGACACAACACAGTGTGAGAGAATGGAATCCTGTTGTAAATCAGGCCTGTTTGGATAAAGCTCTGGGAGCCAACACTTACCAAACGTGCTTTGTTGGGACTTACACTCAAGCAATTACAAACCAATTCTGTTAACTGCAATAACTAAGTCACATGGAAAGTATTATGGGACTCCAGAGGAGAAAGTTATTAATTATGCTTGAAAAGTCAAAGGACATTCCAGAGGAGAGATGACATTTACACTTGGGGAAATGATCATACAGCCACGAGGGTTCTCAATGCAAGACTTTCCCGAGAGTCTAGTTGGAAGACACACCATAAATACACCAATGACTTCTAAAGAGCAGAGGTCAGAGCTAGAGAGGAAGAGTAATGGTCTGTCTGGGCAAAGTAATCCCAGTGGCACAACACTGGAACCTTTGACATCCCAGCTGTGTCCATGTGTCTGACACTGCTCCTCCGCTGGAGTCATCAAAAGTCCGCCAGATAAACCACTTATATTTGACTGCAGTTTGAGCTCACTAATTATTTCCAAAGCCAGTGGTCACATTTTAGCGTTCATCTTATTGGACCTCTTTGCAGCATCTGTCACCCCCTTCTTGAAGCATTTATTTTTATGAGCTCCTTGTCCAACCATCCTCATGCCCTTTCCCTCCGGCTGTTTGTCAGCTTCCTGCTCGGGTCCTCTTCACCCATGTGTTAGAGCTTCCTTGCATTTGGCTCTAGAACTTCTTTTCTTTCTCTTTACTTTCTCATTTTGGGATCTCAGCCACGTCCATGGGTATACATATTCTCGAAATATGCTGATGAGACAGAAATTTATATTTAAAGTCCCTCTCTCTCTGTGCTCAGATTTCATGTATCCAACTGCCTAGCTGGTATCTCCTCCTGAAGGTCTCATGGGCATGTCAGACAGAAGCAATCTGAAATCAGCTTCTCTGTACGACCTCTTTCTCTACTCTTTCTCAACCTCTGCACGCTCAGTAAATGGCACTCTCTTTGCCCCAGTGCTCACACCAGGAACTTCAGAGCTATTCTTAATTTTTCTCTAGTCTTTCATTCTTCATTTATAACAGAGCAAGATCTGTCATTTCTGCCCCCTAAATATACCTTGACTTTGTCCTCTTCTCCCTATTTTCACTGCTACTACCTTTTTTCAGGTGAATTACAATGGCCTCTTCCTCGGTCAAGTAGCTTCTACTTTTGCCTCTCCCTTAACACTCCACATAGTAGCCAGAGTCCTCTTTATTCCTTTAAATCTTTCTCCATTAAAAAAAAAAAAAAACCCTGAAGTATAACAATATAGTAAAATCCTTTAAAAAACAGAAATGAGATCATATCACTCCCCTGCTTGAAACCATTCAGAGACCTCCCACTGCCTTGAGGGGAAAAAAAAAAATCACACTACGTAACATGGTATATAAGGCCCTTTAATAGTCGGATATTTTTTATCCTCCAGTCTCACCTACAAGTCTCCCTCTTACCACTGTCCTCCCACACAGGCCTTCTTTCAGTTCCTCAGACACCCCGTGGGATTGCTTTTGTCTCAAGACCTCTACACACAGGGGTTTCTCTTTGCCCAGAATGACCTCCCTTCCACGCGTGGCCTGACTCCTCATTCTTCAAACCTGTGCCTAAATGTAACCTCCTCATTCAATGAGCACCCCCGCCACGCAGCACCCCCTTCACCTCTGTCCCTACACTGTAAGATCCACGGAGGCCGAAAATATATCTGACTTATTCACCAATGTATTAACAGCATCTAGCGCAATTCCTGGCTCATAACATGTGTTTAATAAATACTTGCTGGATGGATGAATGAAAGGACTGGCGTGAGAGGCGGCAGCGGTGCCCTCTCTTTAGCAGATCCAACAGCCTTCCATTGACAGCGCGTGTGAAGTGTCAAGCCTGGCTCGGGCACGGTGTGAGAGCTCAGTCAATGGAATCTCAGATGGGCAGCTACACATGAGTGGGCAAAAGTGCGTTAATAATAATAATAAAAACAATAATTAATGAATAATAATACAAGAATAAACTTTCACGTCCTCACAGCTGTAAACCTACTTTCGCCCGCCCCTGTCTGCTGTTCAGGCTCCTGGTGCAGGGTGAGGATGTTGCAAATTTAGTACCAGCAGGCAGTGGGAAAAGGGAGTAAGAAACTTTGTTTACTCCCCTGGACCTCTTCCCTGCACCATGCCCCGCCTGCCAGGGCTGACTGACACAATAGCTCTTTGCACAGGAGGCAATAGATTTTTTTTCTCTGAGAGCTTTCTCTGATTCATCTAAGACAATCAGACCTGCAGTTGAGCTCAGCCAGAATCTGTCTGTTTACCTTTCAAACACAGGCCCTGACCCCGAAAGGCTGAGACAGAAGTGGGAAATGTATTTAAAAGCCTCTGATTTGGTGTCTAGGGGAATCGGGTTTCAAAGCCACTCCTCAGTCCTTCAGTGACTCTCAAGAGAGCCCAGGATGGAAATATTTTTCCAACCACAGCCAGGACTCTGCCTGAGACCTTTAGGATGGACATCTGGAGATGCAGAGCTCAGAGGCATCTTCATCTTGCCCAATTGAGAAATATTAATGGTTGTGCCTCACCACTAAGGGAGCCCCTCGTAGCAGGACCACTAAGAGTTAATAAGCTGCTTTTATCTGTCATTTGCTGGGAGCCTAAGTTGGGTCTGACTCAGTCCAAACTCCAAGAAGCAATGACACAACCATTCAGGCGCATCCCTCTTCTGCTCAGCTTCTGCAGAGAACAATGTCTGCTTTCTCAATCCCTCACAGGCGGCTGGCTGGGCCTAACCCGCTCTGCCTGAGGTGTAAGTAAATACCTCTAGGGGTCATTCAAGGGAAACAATAGTTGATGGATCTAACAACATTAACTGACCTCCTAGTCTGAGTCCCTTCTGGCCAAGAGCACTGAAACCCTCAGCCAACTTTGCCTATAAAATGCAATGACATTGGGGCAAAATCAAAGAGCCACTCCTCTCTGAAGAGGAAAAAGAAAGACACACCTTTCCTGCCCCAACCCCGCCCAGGGTTAGTCCCAGCGCGGTAAGTCAGGGGAATGTTTTTTTCCTTCAACGCCCCCTCCCTTCCCCCCTCCTGAGACCTCCCACAAGTCCCCTCCCCTTTGCTCCCGGGAACCTAGCTCACAGGCAGACAAAGACGAGACTGAAATGCAGTCAAAACGCAAATGAATGGATCGATTAGAGCCTAGAAAGAGGATTTCAGACACACACCAAGCAGGTGGAGGTCTGCATCCCTGACCTTCAGATTAAAACCCAATAGGATTTGAAAAATTTAATAAAATATGAGGATCACAGTAAATGGTTTTGCTTTTTTTCTTCCCCTTCGCAACAGGTAGGAATACATTTAAAAATCAGTACCAAAAAAAAAAAAAAAAAAAAAAAGGCATATAGATCCGCGACTTTAAAAACTGCTCTCTAGAGGTAGCTGACCACCTCACTTAGCCCTGTACCCAGTTTAGGCACTTCCCTCAGGCAGGCCTGCGGGGTCTTCTTGGCAACAGTCCTAACTTCCCCCTTTTATGCTAAATTAGCTCTGGCCGAAGTTCAGCCTCCCTGACTGGGAATGACTGGGCTGGAGGCTTTGCCAATGCCGGTGACGAGGGCGGTCCTGAAGACTGTAGAGCAAATGCCAGACTTGTAAACTCACCCCTAACCCTTATTCTAAACCACCCTAGACAATCAGCTAAGGCCAGGAGAGGCTTATCTGAGGTACACTGACTTCCCCGAACAGAACAATGGTTTGGCCAAGGATGTTTTCTCTCGGGAAAGCGCTAAGGAGGGCATGGGCTGGAGAATTATGGACAGTGTTTAACCCTCTTTTCCTCTCTTCATCTGGCTTTACTCTTCTGAATTTGAGGGCCTGCCCTGGCTCCATCACCTGACAGGGCATCACCCTGAGCATCGTCTCTAAGTATCTCT